TCACAATCACCACCCCCATCATCACCACCACCACCATCATCATCATCATCATCATCTTCTCCATCACCGTCATCATTTATGATAATAATAATAATAACAATAATAATAATAATATAATAATAATAATAATCTCACATGAAATCCCCTGGATGTATGTTATATAATGTCATGTCAATAAGTGTCTGGTCCCCTTTTTGTAGTCTTTTCTTGAGTTCCAAATAATGGCTGTAAAAAAATAGATATATTTAATACATTGTAAGAATGTACCTTGTTGATACCTAAGCACTATATCAATGGTAATTGAACTGAGTGAAGTCCAAAACTAAATATGCTTGAATTATATTTTTTCTAAGGGCAATCAGCTTGCAGTATTTGCTTCCTTTTTACAAAAATAGAATAGATAAAATTAATGCACGCAGTGATTAAATGACAATAATATTAACACGATGGGATTCGGTTGTCAAATATGTGGGTTTACGAGTACGTAGAACTTAGGTAATTAACCCTTTTAGGGAAGCACGTGTGGCGTAGCTGTGAGAGCGCGCGCCTCTCATCCATGTTACTCGAGTCTCGTCAGGCTCGGTGTTGTATGTGAGTAGAGTTTCTAGTTGGTTCTCTCAAGTTATGCTTCTCCGGTTTTCCTCAGTGCCTCCACAAAAATCAACTCCTAAATTCCAATTCGATCATGGAACGAGGGCCACAGGTTTGTTAGCCACTGGCTATTAAGTGTTTTCCTCGTAAAAACAAGATTAAGAGAAAGACAATGATAACTATGACGATAACGATAAAGATAATGTTTATTGACATGTATTTTGGTCGTTCTAATTTTCATATATTTACCTTTTATTATAATAAAAATGTTCTTGTTTGATTTTAGGGATCTTGTTTCCTTCGATAATTCTGCGGCGATATGCAGTAAGGTCAGAATGGCAAACATGTTAAATACGCTGTTTATTGCTACTGTTATTGGTGTAATGGCCATAAAGGGTGAGGCTTTTAAAGGCCCGTTTACCAGACGATCTTTTCAGCGATTTGCAGCGCGATTTCCACTGCGATTCCAGGCGATTTTTAGGCGATTGATTCGCGATTTTCGCGCGATCTGCTGCGATTTTGTAAAAAAATGTTAATTCTAAGCAGCGGTTTTTAACGGTGAATATCCTTTCAAATTCTAATTTTTTTCCTCATTTCTTTTCTTGCTACTTGTTTCTTATCTTATCTCGTGATATGAAGAACTAGTCATATAAAGGAACTCATACTTGGCAAATCGCCGAAACAATCGCCTGTGTAAACGGGCCTTTAAAGTCACAAACATCAAGGTTTAAAGGAAATAAAAACTCAAAGTTAATCAACAATCGACACTCTAAGACAAAACAGAGCTGTACTCACACGGATTGGCTGATTCGAAACGCGTTTTTTTCTATTTCTCTTATGTTGTTTCTCACCAATGACCTACAGAGAACATTCAATACCAACAATGACAATAACGATGATATAGTGATGATGATGATGATACTGATGATTTTGAAGTTTTTATGAAGTTTTTATCACGTGGTGTAAAATTCATGCCCACGTGAACAGCATTGGCATCACGTGGTGGATTTGAAATGCCCTTGCACTTAACATAACATAAAGCTACGAAGACGATAAAAAATCACAAATGCCTTGTCTTGGGAAGAGTACTACTAAGACGCAGCACTCGCGATTGACAACATTTTGTGTGCCCCTTCTAACAATAAACAATAGTTTACATACAGGATAACGCTTAAATGGAATCCGCCAAACGCACTCGATTTGATTGTAGTGATATCGTTATCGTAAATTTCTCTGTTGAGATACGCACCGGTCTATTAATAATATTAATTAATCGACCTACCGACCTACCGACCTACCGACCTACCGACCTACCGACCTACCGACCTACCGACCTACAGGTTATTAACAGGGGATGTTAACTACATACACGTTGGAAACTACAACGCCCATCAAAAACCACGGGTCGATAACCTTTAGCTCGTTATTATGAAGAATTCTGAAACAAAGCAAATATGCGTTTTAGTACCAACGAAACTAAGAAAGAAAATAATATATGGCAAAGGTTTTAGAAGGATATTGTTCGTTTATGCGATCAAGGGTGGCGTAGAAGTGGAGCAATCACCTCCCACCGGCCTCTGTGGTCCTGGACACTAGCATCACATGTCAATAGAGTTTCTCAGGTCTTTTCCTTTTTTTTTTTGAGGACTTTTCTTTGGGGTCCACCGGTTTCCAGTCCTCCCTCCTCAAAACCTAAAACCGAGATGGCGTCTATTTCGTCCCCTAAAAAATACCCAAAATGCACTGCAATGCCAACTCAGTTTCCCCTCAACCTCAGAATGGCTAATAACGCTCAATCATATCAAACATTGGGTGTCGTGTTTCCCTGTGTCTGTTGTCTGCGAGGCAGACCCACGAGTTAACATCGTCCCCGTATCCTTCCTCGATTTTCCAAAGTTTTTCTTTTTTTGCTTGTCTTTTTTTTTCTTTTCTTCTTCAAAAATGATCATGTCGAATTCGTTATAAAACGACGGCCTTTTTGTTTTCCGCTTTTCCGMACAATCCAAATATGGAATTGATCATACCATATATGGAGCCGGTGAGCTTTCTCTACTCCAACTTCGACCTATGATATGTTTAGGGTGGATAACACTGATTATCCTTACAGATTGGTTAACTCTCTCCGTTCGAGAAAGTAAATTCGTTTTAACCTCGAAATTCTGTATCCTTTGATCGAGCTAAAAATAAAGTTAGTATCATTTTAGTTTCAATTTTTGTCATAGAATCATTGCGATGCTTGTCTTCATGTTTTCTTGTGGCGGACAAACTTTCGTTGATGCGGCATCAAAAACTGAGCTTATCATATTATGCTGCAATACGTGGGGCTAGATTTCATAGCGTAATGCAGTTACACATGCGGTCAAATGTTTCAAAGTATACCAAAAACCTCCATGCGTTTGCTCCTGACGACGTAACTACATTAATTTTCTCACCCGATAAAACTGAATTATTTATATTGCACTTTGGCGGATATGTAAAATGTAAAACATTTCGTTAGTTCTCCATTTCAAGAAGGCTAAAAAACCTGAAGAAAATTACCTAGATTTCCCGTGATACGTAATAAGGATTTGACTGCATTTCTCCTTGTCCRATCTGCGTCATTCATGAGTTCAATTTAATAAATCAGACGAACGTTTTGTTTGTTATTATGAATAATGTAATGTTCTTCGCCTGCCTTTTCACTGATGAAGGATTCAGAGTGTTATCGACAATCAAGGGAATGAAAACATTACGCCCAGACTAAATTTCAACTAAGGTGAACATACAGAGTGTGAAGAGAGAGGGGAAGTCGAAGTAGGTGATCTTCCCCAAAATCCACCATGCTCTTGGTATTCTGAACAGACCTGGGGAAAAAACGAAAAAAAGAAGACGCAGATGGAACCAAAAATTAAGGAGTGAAGAATTGCTTCGCATATTAATACGCATATTCTCGACGTTGATTGGACAAGTTACGTCTAACTTTCAATTAACAGGTTTCTCGTACTTTTGTAGTTTTGTTGTAACTGAAAAGTTAAAATATACTCCCGGTTTCACTTGCTCCAATCCGCAATTTATAAGGTCCCCAAGGGTATGACTTCACCGACTAACTAGCGAGATGAGGAAGATATACAATATGCTGGCATGAAAGCTTTCTGATTTATGGCATAGCACAAAAAGAGATAAAGAGATAAGGATAAGATGCTTACTTACAAAACAAATGTGATTATGTGAATGTTTTGCCAGACTGCCGTCAAATTTCCATTAATACAAGAAACTTTAACATTTTTATCAGAACACTGACAGCCAGAAGGACAGGAAAAACCTGTATGATAGGATAAAATACTTGCTTAAACTTTTTCTAAATTTTATGAAACATTAATTGAAAACAGTCACAACGATTGAAAAAGGYCAGTATGGGAGGTTTGGGCGCTGTTTTTAGGCTATGACACGGATCCTCACAAATATGCAAATGAGTCAAACGAGCGAGGTTCATAGGTACAATGAATGGGATTAGAATGTTTGCCAATTGCAATGGGTTGAAATTTCTATCCCTGAATCGAAAAGAAAGGCTTAGGTAGAATGTAGTAATCAGTATAGGCAATCACATGGTAACGAGGGAAATGACTCAGATTAAAAAAAAACAAAAGGGAGCATTTATACCTCATTTCACGAGTACTCCTTGAATATACTCCTAAATACTCTGAATTTACTCTTAATATCTCTCCGTTATCTTTCTTTGTGTCTGTCTAACTAATGATTGATCACGTCTACGATCTAAGTAATCATGCGGACATAACTAATTAATTTCACAACATGACCAACCTACCTTCACTGCAGATTAAAATTTGCCGTTTTACACTAAGGAAATAGAAGCTATGAAAACTCGCCGATGTTATTGTATAATTGCAATCTAGTAAAAACTTCTCGTTTCCTTGACAACGCACTTGTGACAACACCAGCTCCCAATTTCCGGGAAAGTTACCACTTCTAATCCCTCCAATGTGGTAAGCAGGTGTGGGGAGCCCAAGCATGCGGCAAGCCACGTTTCCATTTACCAAGAGATCAGCACTAGAAAAAGTCTGGAAGTCAGTACCTCCCTCGATGCCATTAAAATATGCCTGGATAATTCCATCTTGTTCGTTCACTCCTCTGCTTAGCTGCAGAGTAACTGTTACATGAAAGAAAAAATGTGTGATGGTATTCTGTTGACCTATGCGTATCAAAAAACTATATCTTAACCATGGAGCTCGGATTTATTCCCGCGAAGACCTCGCTTGATGAACGTAAATGAAAATCTTTAATATAATGAGTCTAGTCCTGTTAGTACTTTTATTTTATGTTATAGTTTTAACACACAACAGCATTCTGCCAGATGCAAGAAAGGTTCAACATTGATGTAGCAAAGCCGCTATAAATGGTCCCTATACTTACGGTTCATTTGTCCACAAGCTACTAACGCTTTTTCATAAGAGCCAAATAAACTGTATTGATTCTTGTTCCTCAGCCCTGGATGATCACAGTCCAGTAAAGAACTCTCGTTTCCTAAGCACTTCACGTGGTCTACCCACACACCATTTTCACTATCCTCCAAAAGCATAGTTAAAGGAGGTGCATCATGAGGTCCCTCGATGCCCATCATTCGACACACTACATCCATGGCGTTCTTATCCCAGTTGTTGACCCCGAGAGGTGCTCTCACGCCGTTGACAGAGAGCAAAACTTCTCCTATGGGTTGCATTTTGTTTGGGGAGGTTGCCTTGACTTCAACTTTAGCTTTATAAAATAGAAGAATAAAAGGTAGCAAAATCATTAGGTTTTAACCTAATAAGGAACGATTGTTATGTAACTTAAAAGTTAAATAACTGATAGTTCCTTATAACATAGCTACGATATAACGCCACTCGAGAAGCTAGACTGGTCATATATAAGTCACTAAAGAAGCTAGAGTAATATAGTCAACCAAAAAGCTAGAGTCTCATTCGACTACGCTTCGTGCGACCTTTACGCTTCCTTCGTGATTAGCAGCCTCCCGCGTGCACCCAAATCTCGATGGAAGCAAGCTAATCAATGGCCAATCCGGCCTTTTTTTTCTCATTCGGTAAATATGGCTCTGTTTTCAATGATGACTAAAGACTAATTCCGGTTACAGGTATAGCCTCGTTTAAGAGCAAATCATTTGCCAACCTCAACTGTAATGTAAATGTACAAGTTGAACGATACCAGGGTTTTGGAATCCCACGCACTTTTACTATGTCATTTGTGAATAACTTCAAATTTATGTGGATTTATGTGGATTTTGGGTAGAGACGTTTGAGAAAAAAAAAGCCTAACCAAAAGATCCCGTTCTTCCTTTGAGTTTCAGAGGGTTAATCAAAGAGGGTTCGTATTATTTGGGGATTTCAATTGCGGTTTTAAGACGGGGTTCGGTCAAACTCCTCAAAACATTCCAATAACGGCCCTTAGATAAAGAGATAAAGAGACCTTTAATATTTCGTGATTACTAGTGCTATGTTCCATAGATGTTTTCTGAGAACATGCTGCATTGTGTTCTAGTTTCGGCACAAACATTTTTTGTTCATCATTCCTTATATGGTGTTGTTTGTACCGAAGCTAGACCACAATGCATTCTGTTTATTGAACTCAAAAAAGGCCTATGTTTGACTAAAGAGATACCTCTCACATAACCACATATTACTCCCGCTGCATAACCCTGTCCATAATTATTAGCGTTAGATAAAAGACGAACACTGCAATCAAATATCGATGTCTCGTGTCCTGTGCAACGTTCAACCTGCATTAACGTGTATCTTGTTGTAGAAGGAAATATGGAACCTTCTGGTGCTGCTGTTGCATTGGGAAGACCCAGCATTCGACAGACAATGTTAGCTGATTGGATGGTCCATCCTCTGCTGTAAGACACCGCGTACCACTGTCCATCAACAAACACTTCTACACGACCCATAGACTGATTCTTGGTAGTACCTACGATCTTGACTGATACTGGAAAGAAAAAGTATATATAAACCCTATATGGACATTAAATATTACTATAGAAGAAGAAAAGGAAATAATTAATTAGTTCCAAAGAATAGTTATCAAATTTCCCCCGTAGTTTGTCTTGGTATGCTTTCACTTCGACCCGTCTAAGCAACGCCACTGCTCTATTTAGGGAGGTACCTTATGTATTTTATTTGGATGGAAAGAAAAACATATTGGTTTTTTGAAAGTAGTACGATGATGAGTTGGGTTGATCGATACCAACTCATTATTGCTTAAATTATTCACTGCTTTGGTAGGCTTCCGTCTGACCGTAGCGGTCCTTATAACGGTCCTCCAGGTTCGCAGTTGCTTTTATATACTCACAGCACTTGGGAAACACACCAGCCCACTGGTTTCCTTCTACGCATGTCAAAACTGTAGACCTTAAAGAGAAATATCCCATATTACAGGTCAGCTGACAGGTATCATCTGAGCAGGTCAGGTTTCCATTTTTGACATTCAATGGCGAACACTGCGACACTGAAAAAAATAAAAAAAATAAAAGAATCATGTTAACTCTAATCTTCCAGAGAACTTTTTAAAGTTAAAAGTTAAAAGGTAACGTTCGGTTTGAGGATAAATATTATGATTTAAGCTACATGTACGAATAGCCTTATTTACAGAAGTTTTTTTGTGTATGGCAAAAAGAGGTTGGTCAGTGAAGGCTTTGTTGCACCTTGCACCTTGCATCTTGCTTCTTGCTAAAATCAATGTATTATATGTTTCATATGTAAATAATCTCAGCACAGAAGAAAAAATAACGGAAAATATGCAGACATGCAACATGAAACATACGACAAACTCTTCACCAACCATATGTGTGACAATTGGTAAACGCTTCCCTCACCCTTAACTCAATATTCTCAGTATTGATTCTACATGAAGTAAATAAGAGGCATAAGAGCGAAACGAGACGTCATTAAATACCGTAAATCCTCTATTTAGCCCCCCCTCTCAAATAAGCCCCCCCCCCCTTTTTAAAGCAAGAAATTTGTWAAGCCCCACCACCCCTCCCCCTTTCACAACTAAAGAATCACGTATACAGATTAAAGGGGATTTTTTAAAGTCTTGGTTGTTCAGAACATTTCTTTTTAGCTTGCTTTGTTAATGTTACCGTGTTTTAGTTTTGCTATTCACAATAATCGTAAATTATACTTGAGAGACTAACACAGGTGAATCAAATAATAAAAATGCCATGTACGTAACTACAGATTATGCGAGACGGTCTATAGTAATGATTCCGTTTAATCCTGAGTTACAATCATATTACATACTGCGTTTCGACTAAATCAATAAGCCCCCCTCTCAATTATGCACCCCCCCTCCAATAAGCCCTCCCTCAAACGTGCCTGAAATAAATAAGCCCCCCCCGGGGGGCTAAATAGAGGATTTATGGTATACAAAAATCTGCTCGAGCCATGCAGCAAAACATCCTTTTTATTTTCACCATTCACTTTAATCTAAATTGGGCTCCCTGTGATTTGACTAAACAAAATGTTAAATACCTTTCTTTTTCTTCAAGGCTTTATATTTCACTGTAAATCCGTGACTGGTATACCTTTTGACATTTTTCAACCACAGATGGCGTCCACTGGATATTACCTCTCGATAAAATTGAGTATCCATCGTCCTTGTGGATGAGTTGTGTGGTGTAGCAGCATCATATGCAAGGAGTATCTCGCTATACGTTTTCTTTATGAAAATCAGCTTGATACTGTGACCAATTGGTGCTGTCAGTAGCCAATCACATTGCTTAAATTCTCTATATTCATCAAGGTAGCCATCTGTTCGCTGCGTGACAGTTACGGCGATGGTAATGGGAAGGCTTGACGATCTCCTTATGTAGCATCTTTGACAACAAGGAGCAGCTGCTTAGAGATAGATTTGAAAATAAGTATTGTTTTCTAAGATGCTTACATTTGTCTAGTTCTATAAACATACTTACCTAACCACCTTTATACCGACCTACCTACCTACCAAGTACCCACCTACCCACCTACCCACATACTAAATAGAAAATAGTAAGATAAATAAAACATTGCACTTCGAGATCTCGACTCATTTATTGGATATAAAACATATGATTTAGTTTTTTTACAGTATATTTCTTTTCGTTAACAGGGTCATAACCAAGGGGGGTGCAATGGGTGCAAGTGCATCCCCACTCTCTTCCCTCCCGCAAAAGCTGAAGGTCCGCTGACTCTTCCATAATTTTTGTACCTTTTTTCATCTCAAAATTGTAGTATTTTAACTATTAATTAACACCCATTATTGGATTTTTTTGTTGTTGTTGTTCTGCAAATTCTAGGTTGCTTCGGATTGATCATTCATCTTTTTAAAAAAAATTTTTTTTCGTATTTTGGTTCTGCAAATACTTGAACTGTTATACCACTTCTAAAGACAGCTGTTCATAGAAGTTAAGACATAGTTCCAATCCCATTCCCTGTGCACCCACCCTGGAAGACTCCTGTTTACGTCCATGGAACGATCTCTTTTAAAGTTCATCTGCTATGGAAAGATTATTATTAGGATTTTTAATTCCTGACTTCTTAAACCAGGACCATACCTCCAGACATCTAGTGCCGAAGCGCAGTATGGCAGCGCGAAGCATTTACGGCTATGCCGGAGATTTCGACCCCAACACCGCTATTCGAAGAATTACAGACTGATCAGGAAGCTCGGCCGCAGCCTAAGGGAGAGGTTAGTCGGTCCCTAGACCGTAGATGATTAACCCCTTTTTGTTTTAGCTTCGCACCAGTGTCCCAAGATGTGCAAAAGGGACAGTATGGTGGTCTTTAGCAAGGGGGGGGTCCTACATGGACGCCAGAGACACGCCGGGGTAATGAGCCCCGCCCCCCATGTAGACCTACACACTACAGATTACTACAATAAACACTAATACAAAAAGATAATCAAAACATCATTTACATATAGAGTATCATCCTGGTCTACCTAGGATTATACTCATCAAAACACTTCATAGGTTATTCAAGCGAACACAACGTTTTCCCTTGCATAAACGTTACACAAGTACAAGTGAAAAGAAGACAAAGAAAACTA